TTTTTTAGGTATATAAGATAAACGGACTAAAAATTGAGCAGATGAATTTTTATCTCTCATATATATTGTTTTTAGGTGTAAGATAATTTTAGGTATGGGACGAAATAAGTTGAGTAATAGCTGGGCGGGAGAAATTTCTCTCTCATATGTATTGATTTTACGTATAAGATAAGATAAGTAAACTAATAAGCGAGCGTGATAATTTTCTCTCTCATATAAGTCATATGTAGTGCTTTTAGGTATAACCTAATGCAAAAATATATCGTACAAACCAGTTGTAACGTCCACACGGTACAACCCTGGAATAAAATATTTTATCAACCCTACAACTAAAATATCTAATATTATTTTCATTTTTTAGATTCCACTAAAATCTAGCGAATGAAAATGATAATTACATCGGGTGCCAATAAAATAGAACTTCTAAATTATTTTAATTTAATTTTTATTATTTTAAGAGAAAGGGACGCATATGAAATTATTCTCATATATAGCTGGGCGGGAGAAATTTCTCTCTCATATGTATTGATTTTACGTATAAGATAAGATAAGTAAACTAATAAGCGAGCGTGATAATTTTCTTTCTCATATGAGTCATATGTAGTGTTTTAAGGTACAAGCTAATGACAAAATACATCGTACAAATTGATTGTAACGTCAACACGGTACAACCCTGCAATACAATAATTTATCAACCCTACAATTAATAAATATCTAATATTATTTTCATATTTTAGATTCTACTACATTTAAAATATAGCAAATGAAATGATAATTACATCGTGTGCCAATAAAATAGAACTTCTAAATTATTTTAATTTAATATTTGAGAAAGGGACACATATGAAATTATTGATTTAACATTTTTAGTTTGTTTTAAACTGGCCTGATCTATTTAAGTTTAGTTTGATTTGGTTTGTTTAATATAAGCTCATACACAGTGATTTAAGATATAAGAAGCTAAATAGACTAATAATTGAGTGCGAGAACTTTGCGTCATATGTCGTGCTCTCAGGTATAAGTTAAGCAGGCTAATAAGTGACCGCGATAATTTTGTCTCTCATACGTAGTACTTTTTAGATACTAGGTATACCTAAACGGACGAATAATTGAATGAAACATTTTTCTCTCTCATTTGCAGTGCTTTTAGGTATAACATTGCAAATTTACATTCTCAAAATTTAAAAAAATATTGAATTTAATATAATGACGGTCAAAGTTGTGTGGTGGCAAACGTGAAAATGAGAATGTTGCACCTAAAAAACAGAGGAAGTATGAGCTAAGTGGACTAATAATTGAGCCATAAATTTCTCTCTCTCATATGTAGTGCTTTTAGGTGTAAAATAATTGGACAAATAATTGAGCGTAAAATTTTTATCTATCACATATACTGCTTTTAGATATAAGATGAGTTTGGGTGATTTTAAGTATATAGTGATTTTAAGTATATAAGATAAACGAACTAATAATTGAGCGGATGAACTTTACCTCTTAAATATTGTTTTTGGGTGTAAGATAATTTTAGGTATGAGATGAGATAAGTTGAGTAATAGCTCGGCGGGATAATTTTCTCTCTCATATGTATTGATTTTAGGCATAGGAGGATAAACAAACAAATAAGTGAGCCGGATAATTTTCTCTCTCTAATAAGTCATATGTAATGGTTTTAGATACTCCTATAAGATAAGGGCAAAATATACTGTACAAGCCGGTTGTAATGTCCACAGAGTACAACCGAGTATTTTATGTTAAAATAAATGGGCATAAAATTCTAACAAAATGAGTATTGATAATAAATTAAATTTTAAAATCAGTACAATAAATATTTTGATGATAATACTAATATAGTTAAATGAATAAGTTTATTTGTAGCCCAGCTGGTCACCGACTCACTCTTCCTTACGGGAGTTCTTGGCTTTGAAACTCTGGGGGGGGGGGGGGGGCAGCCCCCTCCCCTAGACGCCCCCTAGAGTTAAAAAAAATATTTGTAGCATATATATATCACGTGTAGATCATGATACTCAATGACATGTTTCTAATTATCAATTGTGCTACCTATACAGTGATTTAACACCAATATCATTGTTTTTTTTCAACGTTATACTCATTAATTATCCAAAAAACATTATACTCATTAAGCATAACATGAAATATGTGGTTGTACGTTAAACACTGTAGAACCGGGTGTACGCTGTAGCTCTCATAAGATTTTTATGTGAAAAAAAACTAATAATTGAGTGAAATAATTTTTTCTCCTATGTAATACTTTTATATATTTCGTATAAGATAAGATAAGCAAACTAATAATTGAGTAGGAGAATTTTCTTTCTCATATGTAGTGCTTTTAGGTATAAAGTAAGCAGAATAATAACTAAGTGGAAGATTTTCCTCTCATATATGTAGTGCTTTTAGATATAAGATAAGCGGATTAATAATTGAGTAGGAAAATGTTCTCTCTCATATGTAGTGCTTTTAGGTATAAGATAAGATAAGCGGACTAATATTTAAGCGAGGAAATTTTCTCTCTCATATGTAGTGCTTTTACTTAAGATTACATATAAGATAAGCGGAATAATTATTGAGCAGATGAATTTTCTCTCTCATATATATGTAGTAATTTCAGTTATAAGAAAAGCGTACTAATAGATAAGCGTACTCATATATATTGAGCAGAGAGTATTTTCTCTCATTTGTAGTGTTTTTAGGTAAAAGATAAGCGAACTAATAATTGAACGGAAGAAGTTTCCTCTCATATGTAATACTTTTAGGTATAACTGTATAAGATAAGCGCACTAATAATTGAGCGATAGGGAAATTTTCTGTCTCATACGTAATAGTTGTAGGTATAAGAAGATAAGTACTTTTATGTATAAGATGCACAAACTAATAATTGAATGGGGAAATTTTCTGTCTCATACGTAATAGTTGTAGGTATAAGAAGATAAGTAGACTAAAAATTGAGCGGAAGAATATTTTCTCATATGTAGCGCTTCTAGGTATAAGATAAGCGGACTAGCTAATAAGTGAGCGGAAAAATTTTCTATCTCATATATAGTGCTTTTAGGTACTAATCTCAAAAGTTATTTTATTTTAATATTTGATTAGATCATGAGTAAATATATATATATGTACCCATTGCTCTTTCTCGTGCGTATGCACGGGTACTATACTAGATTAGAAGGAAAAAAACATAACACAGACTTTTATATTGTTCTACTCCTAGTGTTGTTGTAAGTATTGAAATATATTAGGCCACATGCATTTGTCACCTCATTGAGACACACTCCTACGTGAATCATATTTCTCCATATGCATGAATATTGCATGGGCCATATTTTGAGATATCCTTCTCTCTCTTATCACACACTATCTTTTGTTGTAATATAAGTATGCATGCATACGTACGAACTTGGAAGAATGTAAGAGGAGAATTTCTCCTAATGTTCATCAATATAAATTACTCATTTGATATTTATTCTCAATTTTAACATGGTATCAGAGCCAAAACCTGGAAGATTTCTTTGTTTTCTCAAAATTATTTTTTACTTTTCTTTCCCTCTCTGTTGCTCAAATTGACATGGCAGAAACAGTATCGCATACTCGCTCTTGGATAATTGATTCCGGAGCTAGTGAACACATCACTTGTGATAGTGATGGCCTTTTTAATGTCCTAACCCATTCCTCTGAACCGGCTGTTCGAATACCCAATGGAGAATTAATCCCGGTTTCCGCCATTGGTAGTCTCTATCTGCCTAATGGGTTCTATCTTCAACGTGTTCTATTCGTTCCGCAGTTCCAATGCAACTTGCTCTCTGCCAGCCGTCTCACTGGTGATCTCAACTGCACGCTCACTTTTTCTTCCAAATTCTGTATTCTGCAGGATTTATCCTCGAAATCACTAATTGGCATGGGTTATTTCCGCAATGGTTTATATTATTTGGATTCATCAAGGGGTGAAAACGTTGCAATGTCAGCTTCTATTTGTTCTGATTTATGGCACCAACGGTTGGGACACGCCTCAGACGGAAAATTGCAACAGATCACGTTTCTGAAAGGTTTTCAACGGAACGGTAATTCTTGTGATCCTTGCTTACGAGCTAAGCAAACCCGCCTTAGCTTCCCAAAGAGTACAAGTAAGACCACTTGCTGTTTTGAATTAATACATTGTGATATATGGGGAGCTTATAGATGTGACTCTAGTTCCGGAGCGCGTTATTTTTTGTCAATAGTTGATGACTTCACTAGAGGTGTTTGGGTCTATCTTATGAAAAACAAGTCAGAAGTCGGTCAAAAGTTGATACAATTTTGCAATATGGTACAAACTCAATTTGAAAAGAGGGTCAAGCGCATACGTACGGATAACGGAGTTGAGTTTCAAACTAACCTTTTATGTCAATATTATGAACATTGCGGGATTATTTTGGAGACATCATGCACGGATACCCCCCAACAAAATGGGGTCGTGGAACGTAAACACAGACATATTTTGGAAATAGCCAGGGCACTCCGTTTTCAGTCTGGATTGCCTATTGATTTTTGGGGAGAATGCATTCTCACCGCTGTTTATATTATCAACCGATTACCGTCCCCTGTCATTTTAAACAAAAGTCCTTTTGAAGTATTATTTGGGAAGGTACCTAGTTATGAACATTTACGTGTATTTGGTTGTCTGGTATACGCTCACAACAATAAGCGTAAAGACAAATTTGGCGAAAGGGGGAGTCCTTGTATATTTCTTGGATATCCTCACGGACAAAAAGCGTACCGAGTTTTTGATTTACAAAATCAAAATATTTACAGCTCTCGGGACGTGAGTTTTTTTGAAAATGAATTCCCATTTAAATTGATTGATCATGAAGGAAAGGATTTTGGATCCATTGTTCAAAGTGCCTATGAAAAAATAATACGAGGAGATAATTCCAGTAGCCCCATGACTCAACTACATCCACAAAATCCACAAAATAAAGGAGGCCCACACTCCAATCCTTCCACATGCCAAATTCATGCTCCAGTAGACACATGCGACCCTTTCTCTGTAGAATCAACAACCCCATCCCTTCCCTCATGCAGAAGCCGACACACAAGCAGAGAGGACTTAGATGAGGACCACACACGTACAGATGCCGGGCCACCTCCTCACGGACTGGTGCCTGAACGGCTACAACTAAGACCTGCCACAAATCACGATCAGTCACTCTCCCCACAAACTAAGAAAGCCCAACCGGACAACCGCAAAAACAACTGCCATATAGATGGCGGGCCCTCTCCTCATCACCACGCACCAGCCGGGCAGTGCCTTGACCGGCCAGATTTTCAGCTTCCCACTTCACCAGTTAGAAATGAGAATTATGAGAGCTTGGATGCACATGGAACTGGTACTAGTAGGACCGACCAATCATCTACCGCTGACCATTCTGGTTCACCGATCCCAGGCAGAGCCTTACCTATCGGGAATGAGCTGAGGAAAAGTAATAGAATCAGGCAACTTCCTAAGCACCTTGCTGAATTTGATACCGATTTGCCACCATCCATTGACCATTCTCGGTCAACTACCGGTTCTGCCGACTCAGTGGTTTACCCACTTTCTAATTTCATCAATTATGACAGATTTTCTACTAATCATAAGGCTTTTTTGACGGCCATCACTTCCCGTGATGAGCCAAAGCGATTTTCACAGGCAGTTCAAGATCCATTATGGCGTGAAGCCATGCAAAAGGAAATTCATGCTTTAGAAGAAAATGGTACATGGACCCTCATTCACTTACCACCGGGAAAGAAGGCGGTTGACTCTAAATGGGTCTATAAAATCAAGTATAAACCAAATGGCGACGTAGAACGTTACAAAGCTCGATTAGTTGCCAAGGGCTTTACCCAAGTTGAAGGAATTGATTTTCACGAGACTTTTGCCCCAGTTGCCAAACTCGTCACTGTACGATGTTTATTGGCCGTTGCAGCAAAACATAATTGGGAGGTGCATCAATTAGATGTTAATAATGCATTTCTTCACGGAGACCTAAATGAGGATGTTTATATGCGTGTGCCACAAGGGTTTGCAAAAAATGGAGACACACGCGTTTGCAAGTTACAAAAATCCTTATACGGATTACGTCAGGCCTCCCGCAACTGGTACCATAAATTCACTCAAGCCCTCATTGGGACAGGTTTTCGTCAGTCTCGAGCTGATCACTCTTTGTTCATCTTTCGCCAAGGAAACATCAACACATTTGCTCTTATTTACGTTGATGACGTCCTACTGGTCGGAAATGACGTCTCTCATATTTCTACTGTTAAAAATTACCTGGACATCAAGTTTAGCATCAAAGACTTGGGAAAATTAAAATATTTCCTTGGCATTGAAGTTGCACGTTCTCCGGAAGGATTTGTCCTAAGTCAGCGAAAATACACTCTTGACATCTTGGAGGAATGTGGTTTCTTAGCCAGTCGACCTAGTTCATTTCCCATGGAGCAAAATCTAAAACTTTGTCCCGACGATGATAGTCCACATGTGGATGCTTCTTCCTATAGGCGACTGATTGGTCGTCTGCTATACCTTACAGTCACTCGGCCAGATATTGTTTACTCTGTCAGTCAGCTCAGTCAATTTCTCCATAACCCCCGACAGACTCATCTGGATGCTGCCAGTCGTGTCCTACGCTACTTAAAACAAACACCTGGTCAGGGCATATTTTTATCTTCTAATAATGACTTCACACTCAAAGGCTATTGTGATGCAGACTGGGCCGGTTGCTCATTCACCCGCCGCTCAAGTACTGGATATTTTATCACTCTTGGCACTTCACCCATATCTTGGCGGACAAAGAAACAATCTGTTGTATCTCGTTCTTCTGCCGAAGCAGAATATCGCGCTATGGCCGTCACAGTTAGTGAAATCTTATGGTTGCGGTGGTTGCTTCGAGATCTTACAATTAACCTCACGGGCCCCACTCCTCTCTATTGTGACAATCAAGCCGCAAGACACATTGCACTTAATCCAGTATTTCATGAACGTACCAAGCATGTAGAGATGGATTGTTATTTTGTTAGGGAAAGAGTTGTTAGTAACGAAATTCAGCCATGTTGCATCTCCACGACAAATCAAGTGGCAGACATCTTTACAAAAGCACTCGGGACTGATCGTTTTCAATTTCTACGGAGCAAGTTGGGTGTTCGTAACCTTCACACTCCACCTTGAGGGGGAGTATTGAAATATATTAGGCCACATGCATTTGTCACCTCATTGAGACACACTCCTACGTGAATCATATTTCTCCATATGCATGAATATTGCATGGGCCATATTTTGAGATATCCTTCTCTCTCTTATCACACACTATCTTTTGTTGTAATATAAGTATGCATGCATACGTACGAACTTGGAAGAATGTAAGAGGAGAATTTCTCCTAATGTTCATCAATATAAATTACTCATTTGATATTTATTCTCAATTTTAACAGTAAGTGTTCCAAAATGTTTAGCTTTAACTCTAGATTGTTGTTCTAATGGGTATCATTGTCAATTTGTCATGACACCTAAGATATGATTAAAATCTCAGGTGGCTTCTGATATGGTGATGAATGAGTTAATGAGCATTCGGTCAAGCAGCAAGATAATCGTCTCTAGTTATGTGAATGGGGGTGGACCGCCGCTGACAACCGAGAAACTCGGAGACCTCATTATAAAGCTACAGTCCACCGGTGCAGACGTTATCAAACTCGTCATTGATGTTTCTTACATCACAGATGTTGCCCCTGTTTTCCATATGCTTACGCATTGTCAGGTATTTGCATTTCATTTTGAAGAGAATTACTATTACCATCAAGGCTTGTTCATAATTATTAGTTTTGAAACATATATAATTTCTGTATTTTCCATCAATTGCTCTCTCTGGTTTCCTTCATAAACTTAAATATTTACTTGGTACTTATATTTATCATATTGATTATATCATGTTTCATCCGTTCCACTAAAATAGAGATATAAGAAAGTGAAATGACTATTAAGAAAAATGAAAATATATGATCAACATTAGATTTGTAAAGTGCGAAATTTGAAACACTCATAAGTTTTATGTACTAAATACAATATGAGCCAAATTTAGTAGGAGAATGAAAAGAAGATGAGATAGACAATAGAAGGGGAAATATATCAGCAAACTATGTATTACCATAGTCCCATGATAATTTGGTTAACTCGTGAGCTTTAACAATGATGCAACTTATATACTATCAGGTTCCACTGATTGTAAGGGCTGTTGGAGATAGAGGACTTATTAGTCAACTACTTGGCCCCAAATATGGCGCTTTCTTTGTTTGTGGATCCTTGAATGACAAGTCTACCCCTGGTCTTCCCCCTCTCAACAGCATCAAGCAAATCTATCAACTTGAACATATGAATGCAGACACAAGAATATTTGGAGTTGTTTCTAACCCTGTGGGACATAGTAAAGGCCCTCTCCTACACAACCCTGCTTTTAGGCACACTGGGTACAACGGAATATATGTGCCTTTGCTTGTAGATAACCTTAAGGAATTCTTTAGGGTCTATTCTTGCACGGACTTTGCTGGTTTCAGGTATGCTATAGGGTAAATATAACAAATTTCTTCAAAATTCAAATAGTAGTAAAACATAAGCAGATTGCACAGATAAAAGTATTTATTCATTTTAAAATATTAGTCATTTAATCCTAATAAACTACTTATTTTAGGAGTGGATGATTCTTTTATAATAGGAAAAACAATGTTGATCTTATATGTGGAATTGTGTTATATTAGTTCTATTTAGAGAATTTTTTATTTAATTACATGATAACATAAATAAGGTAATTTAGGTTCCTCTTGCAGCCATACATTTTGTAAAACCGTAAGAGAGGTGGTTGTCTCTGATATCACATTAATGCTTGATGCTTTATTTTTTAAGATCAGCTTAATAGAAAGAATAGCTAGATCTTAAATTTTGTTGTACTCCTTTTTTATATATATTTAGCCGATGGGAGACAAATTATTTTATTATTAAGTTGACCCAATGCATCTAAATATGCGTTTATCTTGTTTTGATGGGATTTTGGCAGTGTTGGAATCCCACACAAGGAAGCAGCGGTAGAGTGCTGCGATGAAGTTGATTCCCTTGCTAAGGTCTGTGAAACTTACTATCGATATAGAGCGTTTCATGAGAGAATAGTGTAACAGTCGTTAAGTCTTAACTTATATGTTTTGAAGACAGTCCATAGGTGCTGTAAATACAATAATCAGGAGGCCTATTGATGGGAAGCTCATTGGTTATAATACTGATTGTGAGGCTGGTATAACAGCAATTGAAGATGCGCTCAGAGGTATATGGTTTTAAATGATTTTAGGCCATAATCTTATATGCATTTGCTTCTGAATTTATATATGTTTTCACTTATGTGATAAACAGAGAGGCAAAGGACAAATGGTCATGCATCATATAATTCTCCTATGGCTGGGAAATTATTTGTGCTGGTTGGAGCTGGGGGTGCAGGGAGAGCTATGGCTTTTGGCGCCAAAAGCCGAGGAGCAAGGGTTGTGATCTTCAACCGCAAATATGGTATTGTAGTTTACCCACATATCATCCCCCACCATGTACACTACAAAGAACCACAGATTTAGCATGAATATATGTGATATAAGACACCAGCCTTAACCGCATTGTTTAGGTTTTAACTACGAGTCATACTAAAACAGTCATATGTTGTTGGACTTGTTTAGAATTTATACTCGATACCTATGAAATTGAACACAAAAACTCCAATCTCCATTTCTTTTTGTTTCTTATTGTATTCGTAACTTTATGTATTTGTTGTGAAGACCGAGCGAAAGCCCTTGCCAAGGCAGTATCTGGTGAAGCACATCCATATGAACGCATTAATGAGTTCTTCCCAGAGAAAGGGATGATATTAGCTAATGCTTCTGCCATTGGGATGCAGCCCAGAATAGATGAAACCCCTGTTTGCAAAGTTTGTTCTCTTGCTCCCTAAGGCTATGTTTGGATACTGGAAAAAGCTAGGGATCAGAAAGAAAATGCTAAGAGAAGTTATTGTTTACATTTGTATTTACCTTGAAAAATGCAAAGAAAATAAAAAATGATTATTGCTTTTAAAGTTTTATCACTTTTATGTATGCAGTAAGTTTAGATTTCTTAGTTTTTGACAAAAAACCCAATGAAATAATGCATAAGAATTTTAAAAGTCAATTTTATTGCATTTGAACATGATATATTTTCCCCATTATTTCCATTCCTACTGACTTTCATATTTTCTTCCCTATTCACTTCCCCTAGCATTTTCCACAATCCAAACTGACCAATATCTTAAAAAGAAATGACTTTTATGAGTAGTTTATTGAATCGCATTGTTTGTATGTATCTCAGGAGGCATTGAAATCATATGATCTGGTGTTTGACGCGGTGTACACGCCAAGGAACACACGTCTATTGCAAGAGGCAGCAGAGGTCGGAGCTACTGTGGTGAGTGGGGTTGAAATGTTCATCAGGCAGGCTGTTGGGCAGTTTAAATTGTTCACTGATGGATTAGGTAACTTTGTCTCTCCACTCACTTGCCTAAGTGATTTGTCACTATCTTAGTGTCATGTAATTAACCATTGCATAAAAAAACTTGGTTTACAGCACCAGAGGACTTCATGCGCAAGATTGTATTGGAACAATTTTGATATATAGTTAGAACACGAGAAAAAGTGTCGTCTTTTTTCCAGACCGATCATCATCATCATCAATCACCATGATAGAGTGAGACAGATTTTGTTGATAATGGCTTGGTTTTCTTTGTGGTTATGGTCTACATATACCATCTTCAGTATCAGCATTCAGAAGAGAGAAGAGTAGAGGATAATAAGTATTGTATAATAATGCAGGCTAAGTATGAGGTTGTTAACCACACAGCGGATAAGAAGAGCCGTGTTTGTAAATATAAATATCTCTTGTAATATAAAACTGTTGTGATATCAAGGAATATTGCTTTTTATTGTATGGGTCAAAAAAAGAGAATGGCAATGTTTTTGGTTATTCCGTGTGAACTTAATGGCAAAACTCATCTTTTTCAAAGTTTTGATAGAATCTACTAGTATGATGCAAGAGCTTACAGAACATCTTCTAGAAAGCTATGCCATGAGAAGACCTTCTCGAGGAAGTTGGATGTTGATTTTAATCAATTCCAAGTTAGAAAATGTGGTTTAAGTGACGAGAGGAGGAGGAGGAATTAGGCAGCAATCAAAGTAGGAAGCGGTCATTCTCTTGTTTTTTAATGCTTTTGAATGGCTTAATGATGGTCATCAAAATATTACTAGGACGGGGCGGTCTGGGTCCGGAATAGGGACCGGACCGACTTGGGTCCACCCCTATTTGGCATGAATTGGCCTTTTAATGCCAACAAACAAAAAATGAAAAAACCTATTTGAATATTTTTTCATAACAGTTTCTTGATTTAATGTTTCAAAATATACACAATAAAAAAAATGTTTCAAAATATACCACTTCAGCTAATAGCTTGAAGATTATTCAAACAGTAACAATAACTGAAATAAAATGAAAAAGATAATGACAAATTGATAGCAAAAATAGAGCACCATGATAAATGTTGTCGCTATTTTGCAATATTATTTTAGACACTTTTAAAATTTGAAATCAATATATATATAAAAGAGGAACTTTTTAAGAGCATACAAAGAGCCACGTAATCCTGCCATATCATCCACCATTTATAACAATTACATAGTTTTAGGTTTTTAATATTCCGTACCTTTTATTTATTTTATTAGATTCTATTTTTGATTGCATATTGATATGGAAACAAAAGAATTTATGATAAATTCTACCTTATTTGGTAACTTTTTCAAAACCTATTACGTATTCAATAATTATGAAATTAATTAATAACCAACCGTAGACCACATTTTTTTTATACATTTTATTGAAGAAATGAAGTATCTTTGTTTTGTCCACTTAACAGATAAATCAGTTCCTTAAAAACAGATAAATTAGCCAAATTGCTATTTATTTTATCTTCAAAATTATTTATATAAAAAATGTATTAACAGTGTCCTATTTCCTAAAATGCAATATTTTATTCTTCTAAACTCAATGTGCAGATCATGATTAAAATTTTAAGCCCCAGATTTGCAACAGTGTTAATACTTCATATTTTTCTACATCTTCATATAATTCGCTCTTAATTATTAACACAATGATGAAAATTGTAACCACCAGAATTTTGAAATTCAAAACGAAATTAATACTATTAGACATTCAAATATAGAATCATATAAAGAGATTACTTCTAATCAAGTAGCTTATCTTTATTTAATAAGGATGAAAATTGATATCATACATGCATATGTGTGTGTGTGTGTGTTCACAAGTAAATACGTTTAACCTAGCAAAAAAGTAAATATGTTTGATTGTTTCATTTCTTTATTTTTACAACTACAATTTTAATATGCTATCACTTTTGAAATAAATTCATAATCCAAATTAGGAAATCTTTGTATGTTTAAAAATTCTTAAATGTATTTATACTCTTAGGATGTTTTTAATTAGATTGATTTCATTTTCAAATTAGATCAAATCAGATCAAAATTTAATAATGATAGGACACATAATAATGTAAAATAGACATCTACCAAATCATATTACTTCAGACCAAATCAACCCCGAAAGTTTTAATTCAATTATAAATGTCCTTATAAAATGTAAGGGATCACACTATTAAAATTAAAAAATATGTATACCAAGTTGAATGAGAAATATTAAAAAAATATTATTTTGAAATGCTTAAAAAAGTAATCTAGACATTCATAAAAATTAAAAATCGTTTTCAATGTGACGAAATAAAGAATAAAATGTAAAAAAAAGCTCATTTTTTATATTTTCAATGTGACAAAATAATGAGTCACATGTAAGATCTTACTATTAAAAGTTAAAAATTTGTACTACATAGTTCATACCAAGTTCAATGAGGAATATGGAAAAAAAAATTGAGGTGCATAATAAAGTAATTTAGAGGACATGAATTCTTGTGAATTCTTTAAAAGCGGGTTCACCACAATTATATTTAATTGAGATGCTTATGTAAAAGAACATTTTAAATGTTTTCATGTAATTGTTTCTTTACTTTACGAGTGGAATGTATTTTAATTTTTTCATGATTCGAGAGATTCTGCCTATTCAGTCCATTCAACCACAATTTAATCAATTTCAGACTAATAAGCTGATTCTGCCAATTTTACTATTATCAAATAAACTCTATATTTAGATGAAATAATGACGGGAATAATAGTATGGGCTTTTGACTTGACAAAAATGGGACTTGATCTTGAATTGGACAACAAAGTGATTAAATATTAGGTACTAGACTAGTATGCCCTTCATCTCCCGTAGCCCTCCCACCCTGTCTGCTCACAATCCGCACCAAACACCTTCTGGTGGCAATTCTGGAAGTCGCACCAAACTCTCCCGACGGCGCTCGTCTCTCCATAAGGCTGGCGACTCATCCATCCGACATCTGGTACAAGCGGCTCCACTCCTTTAAAACTCCTCCGTCGCGACTGCGGTCGCCCATCCATGTTCGTCGGTCTTCTCCTCTAGGATGGCTATGGAAGACGCCGGCGGTCAATAGAAGATGACGATATGATGGGAGACTACGACTGCTGGTTGCAACGATTTCTCTAGCCGATGTTCTTCTTCATCACCATCGCTGAATCTAGATCTAGATCGGTTATTCTTCTGGCTATTTTTCTCCATTTTCGATTAATTTTGTAACGATAGCGAGTATCATCTTAGGCAAAGGATTTGGACATGCTGTCGAAAGGGGTTAGGAGAGGAGAGGGACGAGCATAGGTTGGGTTGGGGGCAGAGCATTAGATTGAGAGGCTGGGGGATGGGGCGTGGTAGTGCCGGAGGGGCAGGGGTTGGGGTCAGTCCCGGTGAAGCACGGGAGGGGGCTAAGGCGACCCAGGGAGACGGCTGGGTGGCGCAGGGAAGGGGGCTGTGGTGTGGTGTTGGGGGTTGTGGTCACCGGCGGTGGTCGTCGACGGTGGTCGTCGACGGTGGTCGCTGGTGGTGGTCGCTGGTGGTGGTCGCTGGTGGTGGTCGAAGGTGGTGGTCGGAGGTAATCTTTGTCTAACGGCAAATGGTCGCATAACTTTAATTGGTCAAATTAGATAAAACAGGTAACTTTAATTGGCGTATTGATTAACTGTAACTCGTAGGTCAGATAACTATAACCGGAAGGCGTGTAAATGTAACTGGCTGAATCGGGTAGTTATAATTAGTCCGGTCGGGTAGTTGTAACTGACGATTTGAGTAATTGTAACCGGTTTGGTCAAGTAATTGTAACTAGTTGGATCAGGTAACTATAACTGGTCAGATCGGGATAACTGTAACTGGTCGGATTTGGTAACTGTAACTGGAAGATGGATTTGGTAACTGTAACTAGACGATGGATTTGGTAACTGTAACTGGATTTTTGGTCACTAATGATTTTGGTCACTGATGAATTTTTGGATTTTTTGTGACAAATGATTTTTGGTCACTGGGTGGATTGGTCATGGTCACTAGTCAGATTGGTCACTGGACGGGTTGACGTTGGTAACTAGGTAAAACTTTTGGTCACTAATGATTTTGGTCACTGACGGATTTTTGGAATTTTGGTCACAAATGATTTTTGGTCACTGGGTGGATTGGTCATGGTCACTAGTCGGATTGGTCACTGGACGGGTTGACGTTGGTAACTAGGTAGAATTTTTTGTCACTAATGATTTTGGTCACTGACGGATTTTTGGATTTTTGGTCACAAATGATTTTTGGTCAGTGACGAATTTTGGTCACGATAATGGTTTTGGTCACTATGGCGTTATTGTAGACTAATGAGTGAGATTCTATTAAAATAAGGGTATAATAGTCTCTTAACCAATTGTTAGTCTCATTTTTGGAAAATTGAAATAAAGGTCTCTTTTTTGTTCATAGCTCTTTTTTTAGTATTATTTTAGACATAACCCCTATTTAGATTGAGTATATTTCAGTAAAATAAGTTGATTCTGAAAAATCAAATTTAAAATTAGCTAAATTATGTACTGTCCGTGCATCGCACGGGCTTGAAACCTAGTTATTAATATAGTAAAGTTATACCGCGTATTATATTAATTCTAGAATTAAATGAACATGTGTGTGTTACTCTCGTCTGAGTGTGTATATAAAAAAAATAAAAGTAGTGATTATATTATACTACGTATATAAAAATAGTACAACGTAAATGTTTTTTTAAAACTTTTTCCTGAACATCATAAAAATATATATAAAAAATCAAGTTAAATTTATAAATTGTTTTATTCGTATCCATATTGCTAATCTTATTTGCAAGGTACCTTGTGACCTGATGCATCACCGTGACACTACCAAGAAGGTCACAAGTTCGAATTTTATGACAATTTAAGGATGTTGATCTTAACATAAAGCATACACTATAATAAGTTAGATATAATTGTCCAAAAAATTGCTAATCTTTTTTCATAAAAGCTAATTAGTAAAAGCTTCCTCAAAAATAAAAAGCTAATTAGTAAATATTAAGTGGCTAAATATCTTAGTTCAGTTTCTTAGTAATAACGGTTAATAATAACAACTAGTCAAATAATATATATACTCCCTAACTAATAGTCAATCACTTATTTTCAAACTCCTTTATACTCTTATTTGCAAACTTTTCAATGATAGTTTGTATAATTTATTTTTGTATTGCAGACATTTCTAAATACATCTTCTTTAGTAGAACAAATAAATACAATCAATACCTTACACAGTTACACCACTATTATTTTAAATTATAAAAATAAATAAAAAATGGATTATTAGCTAAATATATCTACAACTATCATCAAATTCACAAATATATCTCATACTTTCACGTTTATTAAAAAAAGACTTAAACTTCAACTTTTCTCACAATTACATTTCAATGGATGAATTATTAAAAATTCAGAAGAAAATCATATTCATATTTCATATTTTTCACTTGTTTCTAGTTTCAAGTTTATAAATTTGT